TTCCCTATGTTCGTCATCGTGGTGACAAAACAACGCTTCTAGAAACCATCCTGAGCACATGCAATCCCTCCCACATCCTTACTCCCTGTTTGTTTAAGAACCACTTTAATATTATCCTCCAAATTAATTTTAAATGTCTAATGTAATATTCTACTGTCAGGTTTATCGACTAAAATTTTGAACAAATTTCTTATTTCTCCTGTGTTCTGTATGTCACGCTCGTCTTTTTTTCTGCATGTTGATAATATTAAACTGAATGTTACTCTTTCTTAGATCCAAAAATCTTCTCCTGTAAGTCGGTAGTATTAATCTGAAGATATTCAAACTGAGTAAGTAAGGGCAAATCGGTTTACCTCAAAAGTGATGCCGGCGTTTCCAAACAAAACTGATAATTAATTAGCATGAACCCTAATAGTTGTAATTTCCTGTTCAATAGTGATAATCCTGAAACACTTTGTACGTGGCAGGACATAAATGGAATGCACCAGAAAAGAATAAATACGTGTATCCGATTTTTGTAACCAGATTGTGCGAAAACCTCAAATCCTACTTAAAAAACTAATATCATTTGCGGAAGAGTATCTTTTCAAGATTTTAACAACTGTATGAGACAATGGAAGGTACACGAGTTGATACAAAGGACGTGTGGTGTTCTTCCTAGGATGACTATCCAGTAAAGAGTGCGTTGACGTTGAGGAACACATCTATCAGCGTATCCGATACAACAGGACCCATCGACTTACATCCATGACGCATATCTGTCGTAGAAATTAGCGGCACAAATATGAGTTCAAAAGCCTATTTGCATTTCTACAAAACTTCAGTTTTTGTGTCCCTGGTTGCCAAGAAACGGTGACTTCTGCGTAAACCCACAACTTAAAGCCCAGCTTCTCCGCCAGATGTCATCAGACACACTTTCTCCATAATTCTTCGTTTTGAATAGAATATGGATAAGTTGGATTAAGAAGTAACGAATGGAAAAGATGCAGAGAGAGTTCTGGCTAGTCGACAGCGCACTGACTCTTGAAATTAAATTTGAATCTCCGTTCCTACAAGAGTGCTCGACATTGTGTTAGGATGATGTAATTGTCCCATACATTGCATTGTCATAACCACATTTACGTGCTTTCTCATTAATCACGGTTCCCCCAACTACAAACTACGCATCTAGACTCCACTAATTGGAGCCTTCAAGTACAGAACATTGTAAGTTCAACCTCAACCAACGGACGGAAAATAGACTATCGTCCTAGTTCACTGTATGATTCTTGTACTCGCACTGAAGTTACCACAGAAGTGACCCGTTATGTCAACTGGGAATGCTGTATCGATTTCCAATTCTCGTCTTCCAGTTGTGAGAGCATTCGATATTTAAATTTCATTAAAAATGATATAATTACTTCTTCCTCTAAAACGCACACTTTCTTGAGGGCTTTGTTTGAACCCAGAAATGGAAATCTTGATTTGTACGAAGCACCGGTGTGTTCAGCACACACATCTAACAACAGAAATATAAATAAATAAATTATTAATAAACCTACAACTTTTATTTATAAAATTTGTATCTTATATGCGTCATGTTTGTGTTTGATTAAATATATTTATTTTGTACAGTCTATACACAAACGTTTGAAGTTTATTGGTGTTGTAAAAATTATATAATATTAAAACATATTAAAAAATATAATGTAAAATCGTATTTACGATTAAGAGCGCTAATATAATATTTTACACAATAAAATGTTTTAATATTATATAATTTTTACAACACCAATAAACTTCAAACGTTTGTGTATAGACTGTACAAAATAAATAAATTTTATTTATAACTGTGTTTGTCAAATGTTTTATTTTAGTAACGTTACTGAACAGCGCCCCCTGGAGAGTCGCGCAGTAGACAAACTAAATTTACCAACTGGGACAATTTACGTTAATTATACTTCGCATTCTTTTGGAAAGGCCAAGATTTCTACAAGCCAAATTAGGTGATAATCTGTGGTCACACTTATGAGTGTCTTCCACAATAGCTAACAGCCTTTACTACAAGACTTCGCCAGTTATTCTGACCTTCATAGCTTCCGTGAAGAATAATTCATTTGCTACTTCAAAGTTGAAGATTTCTGTCTTCTGGGTTATTGCGCTGTGAGAACCTCAAGTCTTACATACTTCAAAGTTGTCGCTCGCGCCTCGTAAAGACACAAATAATTCGATTGTGTCGCTGGGGTCAGCATTGCAATCCCATGTTATAGGGAGGAACACGAATGCTTGAAATTTATCCTGTAACTGTTTTAGCCAACTAGATTAAACAGAGTCCTTCTTCAGGAGCTAATATTACGTTCATCTAGCCAAGAATTACCGGAGGTTCATTATCATGTCCACAAGAGTTATCAACCGGTCCATCCCTTGTCACCTCAAACATCTCATATGCATTCAAAAATTAACCTTTCATCTGTAATCAAGTCTTTTTATTTATGTATTGGACACGCCGTAAGTACTTAAAAAGAAAATTACATTTTTATACCGCGCTGTTTTCCGCCAGAACGAGTTCACAAATTCACTATCTGTGAAAGACTCCTTTCCGCAGAAAAGTTTGCTCGAGACATCGATCCCTGCGTCTTGTTCTGTGTTAAAAGGACGCCTTGTTCCTTTTCTATATTCGACACCAATTTCTTATCTTTCCTTTCCCTTACATCACAAAACATAATCGAGCAATAGCCTTAATTTTTACAAGAAACAAAATAGCGTAATAGGTCGAAAGACTAAAATACAAAACTGTATCGTCGAAAATTTAACATAATACTTATACAATAAATAATAATCACCCATTCACTGCTTATTATTTTCTGATTTCTTGTTCTCCCATTTTTCATTGATAACACTTAGGCATGAGATTCAACACATACCATTTGTCATAACAAGCGATTTTCGACCATAACTGCAAAATATCACCAAAGATATGCAATTCCAATGAAGACCCTCTACTATCTACGACAGTGATGTAGCAGATGTCGGAAATTGCGTCCCTCCTTCAACTTTGTCGCAGGTCACGGCACCATTTTTCCTCTCCCCTCCTCCCCCGCAACGCTAAGTAACAAACTGTTGAAGACGTCGGAATGATGACGGTAATAATCTCCAACAAAGGAGCACGCGACGAATGAAGATGTTTTTTCTCACCAAAGACTCAATGACACGGCGACCCCCTGATGGAACTCTTGCAGACTCGGTGTGGATGGGATGGGACAGAAAATGTTCCGCTTACGCGAAATGGCATTTCCGGCCTGTACAATACGTTTAGAAGACGATAAATCACTCCAGTGTGTTAGACAATGTCAGTCAAAAAGTTTTATAAACGAATCGAATGGCATTCAGACGCACTTACGGAAATACTCTTGAATTCTGTGCAAGTATGTAACCATCAGCTTTTCAGCAGCATGTCGGAAGACAGCGATTTACATAGGTATTTGTCTCGACTAATGTTACGACATGCAATAAACCCACGGGTATTTTCCGTCCTCGTGGGGACAACGTTATGAAAAACTTCTACATAACATTAAAATGTAAAATTATTAGCCTACAATAACGAAGTTATTCCAGGGGTACAATTTTCGAAATACCTCCAGGGATCGGAGAAAGATGTCTCTCAAGCCAGATCTGACAAAGCAGGTGCAGTTATTCGTCAATGACGTAGATTTCAATAACCTGCTGTTCCCTTCTTCCTTAATTCTAATCTATTTCATGTTACAGGATTAGTGATCAGGATGACTATTATCAGCGATATAATAGATATCAAATGTGTTTCATATACAGGATAATTCTTAACTCCATGAAATACATCGATAAATATGTTCTACTACTAAAATGAAGTCGAAAAGTGCCTAAAACATATGACAGCCGTCACTCTGTTAGTGACACATAGTAATATTACGAGCGACAAAACAGCAATTACTTTCCAGTTTATGTTTGAACTGGAATAATTGGCGATCTCCTCAATGGATCTTAGGAGCTATCCCAACTTTACCCCTTTTCATATTTCAACGAATGAATTTTCACAACTACAGAAGGAACTCGACGAACTATTTGGGCAATACGGAATTTATAATAATCCTACATATGAATTTCTCTTATAGACATAGCCAGTTAATTGAAACCGTTTAAGTAGGAAAATAGCCTTCTTCTAAAGCCCACAAATGTAGAGTTTAAGTTTGAATACTAAAGTTGAATTTGCTCCTATAACGGATAATAATAATGACTATACAGGCCTATCATATTCGTATGACAGGAATCTACATACGTGTTGGCAGATCCCTATGAACAAGGGAAGTGAGAAAAATGGATCAGCTCAACTACGTTTTGTTCTGAGACCAAACGAAGTACAGCGAGAAAAAATCTAGATGAAATGTTAATATGCTTTTTATTAGAATCTTAGAGATACAGCAGTCAACCACATTCTGTGAAACCCAAACAAAATAAGTCTTGCCAAATCTTTTATTTCATAGATCTATTAACAAACATTGGTAAGGATACGAACTTCTAAAGTCTTTCATCTACGTCATATTAAACAGTACATAGAAGACCACAATTACTGAAACTTAATTAATGAGGCTATTCATTGCGTTCTTATATTTTGGCACAAAGTGTATCTGATCGCGACTTTTCATTGTTTCTGCTAAGCGACCTCTTCGGGATATGATTCCGAGAGACGTATCCGTTGATCACGAGGAAAATTCTCTAACTTAAGTGTACAAGATGTGGACTGAGCAGTGTTGCAGTCGATTTCAGCGTCTTTATAACAATCTTTAAATAAAAGTGTTGACGCCTGTGGATGCATAACCGATAACAGAATAAGGGGCACAGGGCACTAACCAGGATTAAATTCTTAGACATTGATGCATAAACGTCTCTTCTACATTATCTGACTTTGGCAACGACGACTGTGATCGAAAAGAGACAACTTGCTTTATAATATACCGATAAATTAATAATGTAATGTTGAAACTTACCTAGAGACTGCCTGAAGAAATTTTCGACTGTTCACATGTGGTCACCACTCACCACCTGCAATGATAAATATAATTTGTATACAAAAACTTTCTTTCTGTACGTGCGTGGTTAAACTTTTGCCTGCAATTTCGACCGATCCCATGAATTAGACGAAAGAAGTGATTGATGCCTCCATCATCAGTTCGTCTGAAACGTCGGTGAAGTTCTACCAGACTACGTTTTGCTGTTAACCCAATAGACAGCGATCTTGATGAATTAATCGTTTTAACCTGAAATAACACAAGCTGTTCCAATGGGCTAGACCGTTGTTTAGAACTTTACGAATACAATGAGTCAGAAATTTAAGGATTATGACATTTAGTTAACATCAAAGGATACAGAATTATATTAATTCTGTTGTGAGACGCGGACCATTTATGTCCAGAGAGCACAGGCCTTTCTCAACAGGTTCCCGTGAAAAGTCCTTCCTATATTACATTCCTTACTTTATTGGTTTGTGAGATGGAATGTCAGTGAATGTCGATGCTGTTTGATACATAGCAGAAACTAGGTTAAAGCTAGACTAATTGTACAGCTACTAATTCAGTTGACCCCGGCTTAACGATAATAAGTGGTTCCATAAGAACCATAGTTAATTGATATGATCTTTCATAGAATGTACTAAATACAAGCTAATGACTTACTTAATTCGTTGGAAGACGATTGGAAGTTGACCTAATTCGGACTGAAACGTAGTTTATTGTATTTATACAAGCAATTTTAATAAAGAGAATTTGTAATATTAAATAAAATTATCAATGTTAACATGAATAAATAGTGAATAAGTAATTACATGAAGAGATGCTTAAATAGAGCATGAAATAATTTTTACCACAGGGTAAGAATATGGATGACTTAAGGGTTTGATCAAAAAGTTGGGGTACAAGAAAGCAATCGACTCTAATACACCTTCAAAAAATTGCATAACCTCGATGAAGTAGTTTCTTGTAAAAAGTGAAAAGCAACTTGTGGTCAGCGCAAACAAAAGTAGGTATTTTTAATCAGGATTCGATCCCATCACTACCTGCTTACGGGTCTAGTAAGTTATCACAGTGATGACTCGCTTTGTGTTACATTAATATTAATCCGCGTTACTTAAAGAATATATTATATAGCTTATTACAATATTTTAAATATTTTAAATATTAAATGTTAATTGTAGTAATAATATTTTAATATTTAATAAAATATTTTATTGTAATTAGACGGTTAAAATTAAACAATTATAATTCATCACAATATGACGCAACATTATCATCTCATAGCTTATTACGTTTACTTTGATGAAGCGAGATAAAGTTTCACACCCGTACATAAATACTCTGCTTATCTATGGTTAAATATACTATACTCGTGTCTACGTCATTCTATAAATATTTCGTGGTCCCAGTCTTTCGCTGATTTGGAGAGGAAAGAAATTTATGCGTCCAAAGTCTTGCTACTTCCAATCCGGACTTCGGAATGTCAAGACAGTGAACCGACTTCCCAGAATCGCCAAGTTTCCGGTCATGCCACTTTGACTTGGCATGGCTATCTAAACCCTCTTTCTTCTGAAAGTCTTTCTAGCCCAAATAATGCCTCTAGAAATTGAAGATCGCTTTGTTAAGATAAGATAAGAGGAACTTCCTATTCGGAAATATCAATAACATTAGTACGGAGAAGTAAATCGTGGAACGAAAAGGGAAAAGACTGGTTGGATAGGAGCAGTGTCGCACTGGTTCTTTAACGAATAACCTAACAATTCAAATCTAAAAGTTTATGATGACGTTGATGAGTCATTTGAATAAAAATTTCCTTGGATATTATCCATCGTCTAGTAAAAAATATAAAACGTAAAACGACGTTTCGGAGATGGGGATTAGCTCTATCTAATGGGCCCAACTGAGTAGGAACCTGAAGACGGAGATAGAGCCCCATTTCCGAAACGTCGTTTTACGTTTTATATTTTACTAGACGATGGATAATATCCAAGGAAATTTTTGTTCAAATAACCTGACAATTGTTCATTTTCAAGATAAAACTCCTGAAATACCATAAACGGCATGTTATTATGAACAATTAAACTACAATTATTATTATTATTAGAACATTTGTAAGAATTTCTTCTAAATCCTTGACTCTGAATGTCGTCTACACCGTCCATCCATTGTAATTATTAGTTTTTAGAATGAAAATCGAAAAAAATCTTAAATATAATCAAAATTAATTTATGTTGTTGGAGTGGTGTGTTTTCTTGGAGGTAAGTAGCTTGTATTTGGATGATATTCGTTTAAAGATCTAACTACTCGCTTGGGAGTTATGAGTTATATCATTAAATTATCAAAATGTCCCGAAACCATGTTGTAATGTTAATGTCAGACTGGCAAAATACACGTCAAATTTTACAAGCCTTTTAGTATTATACCAGTTTGAATGTTTTGATCATCAACGATATTTTTTCGAGTTTTCTGACGTGCATACAAAATTTTGTTGGAAACCTGAAGGGCAGATACCACTTGGGAGACCTAATACTAAGAAGGGCTTAAGGACAGAAGATATGAAGATGTCGATGAATTCGCGTAGATTAGATCATAGTACAATTGCGGTAACTTCTGAAGATAGTTTTGGGGTTCCATATTTTTGTGTCGCGTGTGTTTCCAGGCTGTCGCGAGTTGAATATCCATGTTATTTTCAAGAAAAACCTTTGACATTCGACCTCATTAACGACGTCGATTAAGTTTCCATGATCTGAGTAACCAGGCAAACTTAGGAAGAAGGCACTACATCCGTTTTTACTCCGTCCTGACGTAATTCCTCGCGTCTTCCTACAGATATTCGGAGCCAGAACATCGCTGAAACGGTTCCTCACTGCAGACAATGAATAGTCGGCCAAAGATAAGACT